CACAAGGCCGAAGGTCATCATGAACCGAGTCACATCGGCCCGTTGATAAAATTGCATCAGGAGAAGGGGAAATGCCACCTGCTTAAAAGATGCCCTACCGATTTCTCGGTGACTGGGAAACTGTGGGAAAGAAGTTTGTGGTTTTCCCGATGGACATTTGATGAAGCGAACAAGGGGAAGGTGTCCACACATTTTAGCCCTTATAAACACTAGAACAACTCTATGATCATGGAGAGAAGAATCAGGTGATATCACAAGAATTCTTTTAACCGCAGTAGATGATCCTCTTGCTCGACAAGGCGCTAAGATGAGCGACACAATTACCCTATGCACAAGAATTCTTCTAACCACTCAAGATCCTCATAGCGAGGAATTAGACCATGGATGGTCCGGCGAAGCCAGAGACACTCGAGAAAGCAAGCAGAAGAAAAATATAACTGAGTTATTGAATTGCTCCCGCCGGAGTCGGATAGACATTTTATAGTCAGCCTAAAGGATGGATCCAAACGCCCGTGAAGCAATGATGCTCTCGTAAAGTTTTAAAGCATGGGCTCATAAGCTGGAAAAGACGGTGACAGACAGTAGACCCTAGATTAAGATTCTCCACCCGTGACCACGGACCTATCGGGGGTATGGGCATGATAATTTTGGAATAAAATTACTTTTATCCCAAAATTGAGGGGCATATGTTTACACCAAAATTTAGAAAGAAGAATTGCAGGAACTCGAAAACTCCCAAGATCGTGTCATCAAGGAATCAATTGCATAAAAGTTGGTATCAGCTGATTCGAATGCAGTACTGGAATCGGCTCTCTTCAGATGGCAGCAGCAGATAACGATAAAAGCTGTGGTTGGCGTTAGGAAAAACATGTTGGACTCTACGAAAAGGGAAAGATTAGGGTCCAAGTTATCGTAAATTAGGAATGTTTTCTCTTATGCCAAAGATTATATTGAGTCGTGCTTAACTAGGATTCATGCGTAGGTTCTGGGTATAAATATTAGACCCTGGCTATTGTAAAGGACACACAATCAATCAAATACAAGTTACTTACTTTTTTCGGCTCCGGCCACCCCTTAGGAGTAGGAGTAGAGTAGATCTCGACGAGTTCTTCAGCGAGCAGGGCTGCATCGGTCCGACCGACCTCCGGCTTGTCTGTAAGTACCGTCATGACTTATACTTCTGTTCGTACGGCTGCATCGATCCTATCGACCTCCACTGCGACTCTAGTATAAGCTAGTTATCGACTCTTGTCTAGTTCAAGTACGGCTGCATCGATCCGGTCGACCTCCACTGCTCAAATTAGATTAAGGTCAAGTTATCGGCTCTATCTAAGGGTGGCGTCCTTCGGGTAGATTCATTAAGTTACCGATGTTGCTAATGTTTTTTCATTGTTATTAGTTTATAGCAATATCAATCCGTCCGGTCGAGATCGAATTAGATCGGCCTTATATCCTTTCAGTCCGTCGTTCGCTTTACTACAACACGACGTTTTCTTACTCTGAACGACGGGTTATGCTTCGTCGGCTATTTTTACTTCGATTTTGATCGTGCATAGTACGCGGTTAAGGCATAAATAATCTTGAAGAGGTTTGCTGGCTAGTTGAATCTGGTTTATAGTTCACCATTATGGCTGTAACGATCCGGTCGATCCCCACTGATGGCACTGTAGAGTGGAGGATGCTGGTTAGTAGATTTATTCCTGGTTAGGCGTGACCTTAGCTGTTTGTTATGCCTGCATCGGCTAAATAGCCAATCGCATGTGCATTAACGCCTACGGTGTGCGTCCATGATTCTGTTAATCGTGAATAAATCTGTGTATTTTAAGGATTTGATTCGTTGTCTTTTTCACGGCTGCATCGATCCGGTCGAACCCCACTGTTAGAGATAGCTGGTTGAGTCTGAGGAGTCCATATGTTTGTTCATGTGAAATAGTCGATTGTTCACACGTCGTAGCACTTTTCATATGAATCGGCTGTTTTAGCCGATTCATCCGAGCCTTCACGTATAGCATGTCTTTCGAAAAGTCTGTCGAAGTACGGATGTTTTTGCGGATTCTTCGATTTTAGTTTGTTATTATCATCATAGCTGCCATCGATCCGGTCGAACCTCACTGTTGGTGGTAACAGATTAGACTCAGAGCGTTGGTAGATCCGTTTGTATTAGATAGTCGATTTGTTCGCATTTTATATCTTTTCTCGTTAGATTCATCGACTCAATGATTCATACTGATAATATCCACCTAGCTGATGATCTCATTTACATATACGTGCAATGTACCTATCAACATAAAATCAATCGCTACTCACGAGCTTTACAGTCCGTGACAGTCGATTTTTATACGGATCGGCTATTTAATCGTTCTTCCCATATGGCTGCTCCTAAAGCGGCACACTTGGAACTGTCTGGACACAGATCGGCACGTTCCACCTTAAATTACTGATAAACTTTCTCTCCTTGTCAATTGCAGGGTCAAATTGACTGTCACGTCTCGGGAGGAGTACACAGGATCGATCATCCTTGTGTTGAAGCCAGACGGATCTCCAGCTCCATCAAGCAGATCCTTTCAGCGTGCTCGTGTGCCCAGCACGATTGACACGTTTTCGTGCCACGTAACCAGAACTGGAGAAAAAGAAGGAAATAAAAAAACATACGAACAGGAAAGGAAATTGGAACAAAAAAAACGTGACCGACGAGTTCTTTCCGACGCACAGGATCTCTACGTAATCGAGCCGGATTGTATAGTCTGAGTCCTGGTCGGCCACGTACTCGATCAAACCATGGATTCAACGAACTTAGATAGACCCGGCCCGTAACATGCAGCTGCAACAACGATGGAACTAGGCGCTGCAGCTGCATGGATCAAAGCATGGATTCAACCAACGCTCACCAGGGCGCACGCCTCGCGCCACCCGGCACCGCACATCATCGTCGTCCGCCACGACGACGACGAGGCAGCTGAGGTCCGCGCCGTCGACCTGCACGGCAACGTCATCAAGTGCATGCGGATCCGACAACCCATCGGCCCCCTGAGCATGCACGGCGACCTGCTTTGCGCATCGCACGGCTGGGGGCTGACCTGCGTGGTCGACATGGTCACCGGCGCCGTCGCGGATGTGGCTGTCGATCACCGGAAGAAAGTCAACTCGGCGATGCCCTATTGTGTGCTCGGGCACGTCCCGGCCACCGGAGAGTACAAGGTGCTCCGCATCCAAGCAGGTTACTGTTGCAGGTGGCGGCGGCAGACATGCGAGGTCGTGACACTGGGCGGCAGTGGCGACGCCGGAAGGTGGAGACGGCGGACGTGCCCTCCGGTCGCCCTCAGTATCGAGCCCGGGTCTAGCTCCAGGAACGTGGTGGTTGTCGCTGGGCTCGCTTACTTCCTGGTGTGCCGGGGTCGGGAAGACGAACAACCCTTGCAGGCGGATAGCATAGCGGTGTTCGACTTGGCGACGGAGGAGTGGAAGCCGGCGACGCTCCAAGGGCCCCTGACCAGCAGCCTTCTAGCAAGAGCGGATGAGGAGGAGGATGACGATGAGCTCACCCTTCCCTATAAAATTCCGTATAGTATTCGTGTTCTCCTTCGTAGGGAACGCTTTCAGCTAGCCCAGTTGGGCGAGAGCTTGGTGGTACTCTACTACAACGTCAAGAAAGGCTCGACGGAGCTCTGGTTCCTGGAAGACATGGAGGATGACACGACGGCGCGCTGGAGCAAACAACACACGTTGCAGCGCACGCCGTTTGGGGATGCTGAGTCCCCGCTGTACCACTATCCGCTGGAGGTTCTGCATGACGGGAGGATACTCCGTGTGGGTGGACAGGACATCTGCACTGAGAGCATACGATCCCGAAACAAGGGCATGGACTGATTTGGCCACGCTTACTGGAGGCAGCGTTGTTGGCACGCACCGTGGAAACCTTCTCTGCTCAAATCTTGGGGCGGCCCAGCCTTGAGCTTGTTTGAGGAGGCATCCATGGCATCCCAACGACGTGGAGATGAATACGTCATTGTTTAGTTATTGATTTATTATGTGCTCTGCGTGCGTTGTGTAGACATCACATTTATAGACCTCGTTTTGGTTCTTGTACTATCTTTTGAACTGCCTGAGAACCTTACTTGTTTGAGCTAGGTGGATGCTACGTTCAACGATGAAGATGTTTCCATCCGCTGTGATTATTTGTATTTTCCATTCATTATTAGTTGCTGCTCTTTGGTTCCTTTATGCATGTTTGTCTTTTTATCCTTGTCATGAAAAGATATACAATTTATAGAAAATGCAACACCAACCTATGGGTTTAACCCAACAACTCAACTTCATCCAACTTTGTTGTAAAAAAAAACCTTCATCCAACTCAATTTCTATTAAACCCAATCCAATTAATTTATTGAAAAAAATTAACTAATTTCCATCCATCCAAAATACATTACATTTCAATCTAACTCGTTAACAGGACAGTTGAGCGGAGACGGTGGAAGGGAAGTAGGAGGTGGGGGCAAACGAGGATGGCTGCGGAGGAAGAACTGTCACCAAAAAAATATGAAAAAAAAATACAGTCAGCTGACAAATACTCCATCCATTCCAAATTATACGACATTTTGGTTTTCCTAGATATACTGATTTTGTTATGTACCTAGCCATGATGTATTTCTAAGTGCTTAATAAAAACTATGTATCTAGAAAAACCAAAACATCTTATAATTTGGAATAGAGGGAGTAGCAATTTCCAGTTTTAAAAGCTCCATCTGCAATATAGGCATGACATTCTTAGTTTCTATGAAATATGAAATATATACAGTTAACTATTAGTGTACTAGTACTACACAGTATTTTCTAGAAATGGCATTTAGTATTTACAACGCAAAACTCTTCATGTTTCAACTTCTCATTCCATATGGAAACTCTCCTCTACATGTTATACAAACGTTTACTACAAAACTGTACAAGAGACACCACGATCGGTTGACACCAACAATCAACAGCTTAGTGTAACTCCAAAACGGTCACAGATTCCAAATTCCTTGCTTTTCGGTGCGGCAGATCGTGAGCACCTCTTCATACTTGGAAGCATTGACGAAACCCCAAAGCTGCTTCAGATAGGTTATTGCAATCAGGTTTCATCGTGACAAATGTTGAAAACTGAAGCACGAGCAGAACCTACAGCTTTTGAGTACAGATAGTGTACCTCGACATCTTTGATTTTGAATTCCTGGGTACGGGATAAGCATGGGTTGTTAAAAGTCTCGGAGATGGAGCTAGAACCAGTCAAACTGCAAAGATCAACAGAGCAGCCAGGAAAAATAAGGGAGATGCATAAGATATAAAATAAGACGACAGACAAAATGATGTGCTGGCATATACTCCATCAACCTTTCTAGGAATTTTCCATCAATATGCAAACAAAACCTAGAAACTAGAAATTTTGTGTCATGTGATGGAAAGGAAGAACAGAGATTACAGGTCTCCATCGAGATAAAGTGCGAAGTGACCACCACCTCCCATTGCCAAATAATCGGTAGAGCAAAATGTAAAATAGTTGTTAGCACCTGCAATTCAAAATGTAAAATTCTTGATATATAGTTTTATAAATACGATGCACCTAACAACAAGCCAATAACAATACCCAACTGTCTTAAAAGCAATATTAACTATGGCTACATCAACACTATGGTTAAAGATGTAAGCATTCCAGATCTAGGCATTTATGATAAGCATCTAGACAAGGATAATAACAGATTAACAGGGACTCAGGGAGTAACCTAAATGGCTGATAGCAGAGCTAGTAGCCCGGAACTCAGAAGCATAGTTATTAAGACCGGACCGGACTGGTGGTCCAACCGCAAATAACCGGAACCAGGACCCCCACCGGTTCGGTCCACTTAAAAGATCAGTTGTGCAATCAAACTGGGGAAAACCAGTTAGACCGCCAGTTTTTAGGGAGAAACCGGTGAAAAACCGAGTAAAAACAAGACCTCTGAGCTGCTGTAAAACCAGGCAACAGTGAGCTGGCAGCGTGGGAAAGGGGATGGAACGGAGAAAATCCATAAAGACTGCACGCGTGCAAGAAGGGGGGGTTCGAAGCCCCCTCACGAGCTCTGTGTGCGAGGTGCACTACCACTGAGCTATGCATGTGTTGTTGATTTTGGTGTAGATGACATTCTATTTGAACTGTATTGAGCCAGCGGTTGAACCAATTGAACTGAATAAACCGTGAATAGAGGACTCAACCGGTTCGATGCCCAGTCCTGTCCTCATAACTATGCTCAGAAGTGTAGGAAATCAATGGACCATAAAAATGTGCACTACCTTTTTTGAGGTTGTTGTAAAAAGATAATGTAAACTTAGCAAACATAGATTACCTGTTGGATGGCATATAACAGGACGGCCATCTACGTTGGTGAACACAAAGCAATCATTAGTTCCCTGAAATATTAGATGTAAGTACAATCAGCATAGTGTAAAATAGGCATCCTGAAATCAGCAGTAGTATGTGTATCGAACCTGATACTTCCTTTTTATGATAGGCTGCAGTGGGGCCTCGACCAAACCACCAAAAACTGCTCCTCTTCGATCCCCGACTATCTGCGGTAGCAAACAACAAATTATCATGTGGATAGCAGTAACTAAATTGTACAATACACTAAAGCATCATTCCTCAATGGTCCCCCACAATGTATGATCGAATCCAATGGCACTTTCATCAATAGATTAAATGGCTGGATAACACAATTATGGAAATCCTAGGTGCTGCTGAGGGATATTTGTTTCTTTGGCAAGCTTTCCACGGCAGCAAAACCCAGTCAGCACAGCAACTGAAGGAAAGGAATTATCCCATAAACAGAATTTGTTTTATATGGGTGTATTTGTATAATTGTATAGAAGCATAATTCCAGAGTTGGAAATTATTTTGGTGCTGTCAGAGGGATTCAATATTTAACAGCTTCTGGACATAGCAGTATGAAATTTGAGCCATCTCTTGGCAGATGGAATGTTAGGTCTACTACATAAAAATTTGCATGAAAATATGGAAAATCCCTGGTATGTGAAAGGATATGATAATTCATAATCGTAAGGTTTAAGCATATATGATCAGAGTGACAGAGTTCTGGTTTTTGGAGGATACTGTACTGACATGGCATTGCGTGCTAGTATTACACTAAAATTGCCAGTGATACTTGTATTGTATATAATCTGTGTTATTTGATATTATACAGAAAAGGCATAATTAGAGTGGTGTAATCATATTTCATGCAAGGGTAAAAAAAAAAAATAGAGTATATCATGTTTAGTGTAAGGGTAAAGTATGAACAATACATAAAAATGCTACTACGTAAAATACCAGAAGTGAGTAGCCAGCACAAAGCCTGCTTCTTCGATACAGAGTAGACAAAGATATTCCGTGCCTCCAGGTGCTGAAATGGTGTGAACACAGATATCAGAAAACTAACTATATTGCAAAGATGGTAATAATCAGCACCGTATTTATGTTCCAGAGATGCCTCCAACCTGTATACCAGCATCCAGTTCCTTCCTTGAACAAGAACAGGAAGAGATGTATAAAGAACAGCTCGCATCATTTCTGTCAGAAGAACAGATGGTTCAGACATAGCTGGCAATTTATCATGCAAAGTTGATTCTTTTGATCCCTTCATTTCAAATCTGGGTGCAACTGATTCTGTTTGACCTATGATTTCACCATCAATGCTGTGGGTCTGTTTCTGTCTCAAATTACCAAGTCCTGCTTTGCTAATAATCCTACCAATGGAATGCTTCCCTCTACTAAGCAGGCCTTTCCTCCCACTGCATGCCTTCCCAACAGGTGTTAAAGTTGGGTATTCCACATTTAGATTATGCTCAGTTGTGGTCTCCATTGGATCCTTGCTGGCAGTTGAGGAAGGCACAAAGGACATCAGAAATGCTCTGAAGGAAGATGTGTCAGGACCTTCAGGAGTCTCAGAATTTTGGTCAGAATCATCATCACCAAATAGTGTGTCTTTTCCTTCAGTGACCTCCTATAAGAGAGAAAGATAAGCTTTTAAATGAATGGATTCGTCAATAGAATGGTTGATAGTATGTGCCATTTTATTAGTCAATTATTCAGAGACTACACAATCCATCACTATTTCCAGGTCTGGGTCCTTTTCTTTTCATGGAGATGGAGGTACCATTCAGTTTTTTTTTTTTTTTTTGAATTTGGTACCATTCAAACTTTTGCTCTACAAACACAGTAGTAATAATGTCCCAAGAAATATTTGGATTTGTCGGTTCTCAGTTTCTCATCACCATGGCTCATCAGTAAAAGCAGCTTACAACAACAACAAAGCCGTTTACTCCAAAGAAAGCTGTGCAAAAGCAACTTCTATGAAACTGTAATGTGGGGATTGGAGTACCACAAGCGTCGGCTTCGTGCAGGAGTTCAGGCTGCTGATTATTCTAATTCAGCGTCAAGCTACACTAGAGATCTTTGAATTAGAGAGAGTTCTAGTTGAATTTGAAAGGAGAATGTTAGGATTATGTTTAGGGTTGGAGTTACTCTGTTGGGGAGAGGACTATACGTAGTTGTACTCATTATCAACCAAGAAACCAATCAATAAGTTATAATGCAAATATTGCCTTCTCTTTTGGTGCGACGTCATCACGAAGTTCAAGTGTTCAGTTCTGCGTCCATTTCCATCCCATCACTACTCGTCTACTCCCTCGGACCCTAGACACTTCCCTGGCACTGGCCCTGACAGAACCAAATATTTCCCCAGAAAGAATTTGAAAACAAAGAAGCCTAAACTGATAACATATTAAACCAAAAACTTAATTTGGTGGGACATTTGGAGGAACAAGTGTCTTCTATACTCAGTGTCTCTAAACACATAGAAGAAGAGAATTAGAGCCTGATTGAAATATCAGTGTTGGCTAAGTGTGTACCATCCTCCCGGTTTGTTGCTACCCTAGTGCAATTGGGTCCAAGGTTTTGCTCTACACTTCTACAGGCAAAGTGATGTATCCATAAAAGGCCTCTGTCGCACTCGGGTACGCCATAGGTCATCCACGAGGACCAGATCCCAATGAATTAGCATCCACATCGCACGCACCTCTAGGCTCGCATTTAGCAGCACCACAGCGAACCTCCCAAAGCCAAACAAAAACATAACCGATCGACAGAATATATACACGCCAACGCTATACTCCAATCTCCAGTGGCAGCACCCTAATCAGCAATTGGTCGAATCAAGACAGCGGCCCGGAAATGGAACCGGATTTCCGGAGCAGAGCAATAATCCCGTAGGGCCAAGCGGGGACAGGAAGGAGGTGGTGCAGGAGGAACTCACCGGGAGGTGGGAGGGGTGGTGTCGCTGGCGCTCGCGCTCGGAGACGGGGTTGAGGATGACGGTGGCGAGGTCGGACACCAGGTGCGCCGCCTTCCCGCCCAGCGCCGGCAGATACCCCATCCCGGCTTGAGCCCGCGCCGCCCTCGCGCTGGTGGAAAGAGGTTGAGATCAGGAAGCAGGCAAGGGGAGTCCGATCGCCATGCCCGTGCTCCACCTCCTGCTGCTGCCGGTGTCGAGAGTCGAGAGCGTTGCGGTAGTTGGTTGGGTAAAGAGAGCGGTGGAGAGAGAAGTGGAAGCGCAGAGTTCGCTGTGCCTGTTACTGATTGGGGTTGGATCCGTGCACTTGGAAGGGAAGTCCGAAAGGGACAACACAAGTTTTTTTTTTTTAGAAAAAGGGTTGGAGTTCATTAAAACAGAAGTTTTACATCCAGCCCCCTGACAGGGCACTCCTCAAAGAAAGAAGAATTACAAATGAATTCACCGAAGGAGCACCCAGAGACCGTCGCCGACCGTTGTTGTCGCAAACCAGTGCCCTGTTCGACTGGGCTTCCTTGTTTATAAGTCGTATTTTTTCGTCAACGAATAATATTTTTTTCTCACACCAAATTAGTCATACAGTACTAGTATTTTTAGTCGTGGCTTATCAGCCAAACAAATTCAAATGAACGGGGCGTAGATCTTCCCCACCTCTCGCAATGACGAAAACCTAGGAGGAAGTTCATGGCCGGATCCCGAATCGACGAAGAGTCAACTTTTAAGAAGGCCATCAGTAGCACATCGAAAGCATGCAGTTTATCCGCTGAATACTCAAGCCAAACCTCGATTTCACCAGGATCGACACCGGTTGCCTCATCGAACAACCCGAGCCGACAAGCAACTGACCCGTAAGGGGATCGAAGAACACCAACCCGTGCAAACGAGAAGGTGGAGAAGTAACCTCACAAGGCAATTCCTGTTAGATATTTAGGCATTTTCATTATCAGTTTAATCCAGAAATATAACATCAGCAGGTTTGTAACAGTATATATGTGCATGTGTATATTTTTTATGAACGCTACAGCATGCATAGATGACATACTGACTGATATAGTGAAAAGACAAAATACAGTAATCACATATATTAGACTGTACCCAGCGAAGGGTCCCATGCCGAGGGCATCGGAGGCTCCATTCGCACTAGTCGACATAGTGCGTTGCTCGAAGTCGCGGACCACAGTCGATGCAGGAATATGTTCGCAGTGCAGTCCCACGAGCGGATCACCAGGAAGAAGACGCGTTGATGTTCCAGGGAGAAGACGGGTCCAAGAGCGATCTCCAGCAGGAAGAAGATGGACGAGCAGTCACGGATCGCTCCCCAAAAACCTAATCGCCGCTCACCTCGTGCAGGATTCTCAGACGGACGGTGGTTCCGGAGGCACCTGCTCTTCCGTTACTCCAGAATCCCAGGAAACGGGAAACGGAAGAGACGGTAACTGACGCAGTCAATTTGCCTCCACCATCAAAGGGAGTCCGCTCACTCGCTCGTTGCCCGCCTGCCTGCCTCGCCTCGCCACGCCCACGGCCACGGCCTCGGCCTCGGCCCGGCCCGCGCCCACGCCCACGCCCAAGCCCATGGCCCGGGCGGCTGCGGCGGCACGCGCGCGCATGTGGCACGCTTTTATCCTTTTCTCAGTTTCTCAATTTAGATAAATAATTTCCAACCATATAAGCTGAGTCGGCGTTCAGTCAAAATTCCGTATGATATTAAACCATACAACACTTAATGTTACGCACCATAGAGTTTTATTTGATTTATTAAATATTATATGGGCCAAGCCTATATTATATCCAACAATCCCCACCAAACTTTAGGGTTTGTAACAAAATAGTCTTAAAACCACATTTCTTTTATATACCAGTGTTTCGATGGAGACTATTAAGTTGAACATCCATCTAGAACAATAGTTTCACTCAGTCACAACTGAACAATGGACTAAGCCTTGAATTGATAATTTTGTGTGAGGTGAATGTCACTAAAGTGCTTAGCTGATACTAGGCAGCAAAAGGCATCCCCTCTATTTGAAGCATATAAGTCATACTTCAGTGCCTTTCATGAGTATTTAGAGATCACCCAAATCTCATAGACTGTGACCAGCAGTCTGACTCATATAGATGTGTTCCTCAAAAGATGTTCTGTAGGACAACATCTTTGCTTTAGAAAGCCGCTTGGAACACATTAAGGTAAAAACCAACCTGTCTTACAGATAGGAAAGATGTGCATCATAAATGAGTCTTACTAAGGATCTTTCTTCACAATTTACTACTAGCTTGTTTCACCGTCCTAATTCACATGATCTCCGATCACATATAACAGGTTACTACTATAGTAAATTTCAAGTGGGTCTCAAACACATCTCTCTCGATGCACTTTCTATCACATTGCGTGATAGACCCTTAGTGAACTGATCTGCCAGATTGTTAGACGTGTGGACATAGTCCAACGCTATTACTCCGGAGTTTCTCAATTTTCTGATAGATTTTAGTCATCTCTTAACATGCCTTGTGGACTTCATGTTAACCTTTATAATCACAGTCTGGTTATCGCAGTTCATAGAAATAGCTGGTATAGGTTTTTCAACAACCGGTAAATCCATAAGGAGATCACGAAGCCACTTAGCCTCAGATCTAGCAGTGTCTAATGCTGTGAGTTCTACTTCCATTGTAGACTTTGTTAAGATAGTCTGCTTGCAAGACTTCCAGAAAACAGCGCCACCTCCAAGCGAAAACACATATCCACTTGTGGCATAAAAGCTCATCAGCATCAGAAATCCAGTTGGCATCATAGTAGCCTTCTAGCACTTTTGGATGTCCGATATAACAAATACCATAACTCATGGTCCCTTTTAGGTAGCGCATTACTCTCTCAAGAGCACGCTAGTGATCATCTCCCGGGTTTGACACAAACCGGCTCAGTTTGCATACTGCAAATGAGATGTCAGGCCTTGTTGCACTAACAAGGTACATGAGTGAACCAACGATCTAGGAATATCTCAATTGATCCATTGCTATTCTCCAATTTTTCCTCAATAGCACACTAGGGTCATAAGGTGTGGGAGCAGGTGTACAGTCACTAAACCCAAAGCGACTCAGCACCTTTTTCACATAGTGGGTTTGTAACAGAGTTACCCCACCATCACCTTCTCTTTAAAGCTTGATATTAAGAATAACATCAGCCTCTTTTAAATCTTTCATCTCAAAATTTTTAGATAGAAATTTCTTCACCTCCTCGATCACTTTGAGGCTGGATCCAAAGATCAGTGTGTCATCAACATATAAGCACAAAATGACTCCTTCACCCCCACCATACCGATAGTACACACATTTGTCAGCTTCATTCATAACAAAGCCAACAGATGTTAAAGTTATGTCGAACTTCTCATGCCATTGCTTAGGAGCTTATTTTAGGGCGTATAATGACTTTAATAATTTACACACCTTACCTTCTTGACCATTTGCTACAAACCCATCAGGCTGATCCATATAGATCTCCTCTTCTAACTCTCCGTTTATGAAAGATGTCTTAACGTCCATTTGATGAACGATGAGACCATAAGAGGCTGCTAGGGAAAACAAAACTCGAATTGTGGTCAATCAAGCAACCGGTGAATAAGTATCAAAGAAATCATCACCTTCCTTTTGGGTATAACCCTTGGCCACAAGCCTTGCCTTGTACCTCTCAATAGTACCATCAGGCCTAAGCTTTTTCTTAAACACCCATTTGCACCCTATAGGTTTGCACCCATAGGGACGATCAATAATTTCCCAAGTTCCATTAGACATAACAGAGTCCATCTCACTCCGTACTGCTTCCTTCCATAAGTCATCATCAGGAGAGGAATATGCCTCTTCAATGGTCGTTGGTGTGTCATCCACAAGATACACAATATAGTCATCACCAAAAGACTTTATCATCCTCTGTCTCTTACTTTTCCTGGTGACTATAGTGTCATCCTCCTCAGGATTTTGCACATAGGGTTTCTCAATTTGTTCTATCGAAATAAAGTTTTCATGCTCATGGGGAATTATAAATTCATGACCAGTTGTGCTAGGTGCATTTTTCATGGGAAACTTATTCTCAAAAAATGTAGTGTCTCTAGATTCCATGATTGTATCAACAGTCATCTCAGGAACACTAGAGTTTATAATTAAAAATCTATAACTCACACTATGAATAGTATAACCAAGAAAGACACCATCAACAGTCTTTGGTCCAAGCTTTCGCTATTTGTTTAATGGCACATTCACCTTTGCCAAACAACTCTAAGTTCGTAGGTAAGAGAGATTTAATCTCTTCTTCCCTCATTCCTCGAATGGTATAACCCTTGGCCACAAGCCTTGCCTTGTACCTCTCCATAGTATCATCAGGCCTAAGCTTTTTCTTGAACACCCATTTGCACCCTATAGGTTTGCACCCATAGGGACGATCAATAATTTTCTAAGTTCCATTAGACATAACAGAGTCCATCTCACTCCGTACTGTTTCCTTCCATAAGTCATCATCAGGAGAGAAAATATGCCTCTTCAATGGTCGTTGGTGTGTCATCCACAAGATACACAATATAGTCATCACCAAAAGACTTTGTCATCCTCTGTCTCTTACTTTTCCTGGTGACTATAGTGTCATCCTCCTCAGGATTTTGCACATAGGGTTTCTCAATTTATTCTATCGGAATAAAATTTTCATGCTCATGGGGAATTATAAATTCATGACCAGTTGTGCTAGGTGCATTTTTCATGGGAAACTTATTCTCAAAAAATGTAGCGTCTCTAGATTCCATGATTGTATCAACAGTCATCTCAGGAACACTAGAGTTTATAATTAAAAATCTATAACTCACACTGTGAATAGCATAACCAAGAAAGACACCATCAACAGTCTTTGGTCCAAGCTTTCGCTTTTTGTTTAATGGCACATTCACCTTTGCCAAACAACCCCAAGTTCGTAGGTAAGAGAGATTTAATCTCTTCTTCCCTCATTCCTCGAATGGTGTAATTTCTTTGTTCTTTGTGGGCACTCTATTCAGGACATGACATGCTATCAAAATAGCCTCACCTCACCATTCCTTAGATAGTCCCGCAGTCTCCAACATGGCATTAACCAAATCAGTTAGAGTGCGGTTCTTTCTCTCTGCAATTCCATTGGACTGTGGTGAGTATGATGGTGTCCTCTCATGAATAATTACATGCACTGCGCAAAACTTAGAAAATTCATTTGAGAAATATTCTCCCCTGCGATCGAACCGCAAACGCTTGATTTTCTTTTAAGTTGATTTTCTACCTCAGCTTTATAGACCTTAAAATAATGCAACGCTTCATCTTTTGTTTTCAGCAAATACACGTAGCAAAATTTAGTGCAATCATCTATAAATGTCATGAGGTATCGTCTACCGCCTTTAGTCAATTCGCCATTCATTTCGCATAAATCAGAATGAACGAGTTCTAATGGTGCTAAGTTCCTCGCCTCAGCAGCCTTGTGAGGCTTGCGTGGTTGCTTCGATTGCACACACATCTGGCACTTAGAATCTTTGACTAAGTTAAATTTCGGGATTAAATTCAGATTTGCAAGCCGCGTGAGACAGCTAAAATTAATATGACAAAATCGTGAATGCCATATATTCGACTCATCCAAAACAATAACATTGTTCACTACTTTATTACACACATCATCAAGCAAACATAAGCGGAACAAGCCTCCGCAATCATAACCTTTTCCAACAAATGTTCCATGTCTCGACACAACACATTTATTGGACTCAAGCACAATTTTAAAGCCATCACGACACATCTGAGAAGCGCTAACAAGATTCTTCTTAATGGAGGGGACATGCTGCACGTTCTTTAATAGCATCGTCTTTTCCGAAGTAAACTTTAGAATGACCGTACCAGCACTAAGAACACACGCATGCGAACCATTTCCCATCAGCAAGGCTCCAGTCCTACCGGCCTGATAGGAAGTAAACAAAGAAACATCAGCACACACATGAATATTAGCACCATTGTTCATCCACCATTCAGGTGAAAGACAAACTGAAAGAACAAAGGGTAAAGAATTACCATACCCAGATATTCCTCCTCCAGTCTCGCTAATTACCATATTTGCTGATTTCTTTTCTGGCTTATATTTGCGGTCTGGGCACGCGCTTGCCCAATGCTCATCACTCCCGCAAACAAAGCATCCTCCACCTTTCTTGTTGTTTTTCTTCTTAAACTGTGCAGTCTGCTTAGGCTTTACATTGTTGTTCTCTTGCATATTCTTCTTCTTTTTGTTACGAGATGCAAATGAGTTTTTCTTCTGCACCATATTAGCAGCGGAAGACTCAACTCCTTTTCCACAGTTGTCTTTTGCTCTCGCCCTCTCCTCAACATCAAGAGATCCAATAAGGTCAGTCACGCTAAACTCTTGTCTCTTATATTTTAGAGAAGTAGCAAAATCCCTCCAAGAAGGAGGCAACTTAGCGATTATACCGTCGGCCACAAACTTGTCAGGCAACAGACATGGAAAATGTTCTAGTTCCTTCGCTAGCGCCTGTATCTCATGAGCCTGTTCGACCACAGAACGGTTTTCAACCATTTTGTAGTCATACAGCTGCTCCATAAGGTACAACTCACTGCCAGCATCAGAAACCCTGAACTTTGCCTCAAGAGCATCTCATAACTCTTTGCCTGAAGTGCAAGATATATAGTTTTTCTCATACTTGGGATAAAGTGCACTAATCACGCCACCTCGAAACAGGTTATCGGCAGCCAAGAACTTTCGCTCCTCCTCATGAGTGAACTGTTCAGGCTTCCCCTGTGCGGCGTGATAGCAGTTCATCGTAGTCAACCACAATACCATCTTTGCACGCCATATCATAAAATTCTTGCCATCAAAATTATTCGGCTTCAAAGCAGCAGCAAATCCACTGACAGAAAATTGCCTATTATTAGGTTTTTGGATTGTTAGATATTTAGGTATTTTTATTATCAGTTTAATCTAGAAATATAACATCAGCAGGTTTGTGACAGCATATATGTGCATGTGTTATGTATATTTTTTATGAACGCTACAACATGCATAGATGACATACTGACTGATACAGCGAAAATACAAAATACAGTAATCACATAGATTAGACTGTACCTAGCGGAGGGTCCCATGCCGAGGGCATCGGAGGCTCCATTCGCACTAGTCGACATAGTGCGTTGCTTGAAGTCGCGGACCACAGTCGATGCAGGAAGATGTTCGCAGTGCAGTCCCACGAGCGGATCACCAGTAAGAAGACATGTTCATATTCCAGGGAGAAGACGGATCCAAAAGCGATCTCCAGCAGAAAGAAGATGGACGAGCAGTAGCGGATCGCTCCCCAAAAACCTAATCGCCGCTCACCCCGTGCAGGATTCTTAGACGGACGGTGGTTCCGGAGGCACCTGCTCTTCCGTTACTCCATGCGCGCAGAGGTACGGGACGGGGAAGCCAGAAGGAAACTGTTGCGGAAGACGGGATTTGGACTGACGGAGGACAGGATATGTATGTCTGCTGCGGGGAAGGGAGAGAGGCAGCGGAGAATCCCAGGAGACGGAAAGCGGAAGAGACGGTAACTGACGCGGTCAATTTGCCTCCACCATCAAAGGGAGTACCTCCCGTAATTATATGGATCAAGTGGCAAAAAACTGGCCACGTCCGCCCGCTCGCCTGCCACGCCACGCCCACGGCCTCGGCCCGTCCCGGCCCGCGACGGCGGCGCGCGCGCGTATGGCACGCCTTTATCCTTTTCTCAGCTTCTCAATTTAGATGAATAATCTCCGACCATATAAGCCGTTCAGTCAAAATCCCGTATGCTATTAAACCATACAACACTTAATGTTACGCACCATAGAGTTTTATTTGATTTATTAAATATTATATGGGCTAAGCCCATATTATATCCAACAATTCCACTCGACGCCGCAGCCATCAGAATCACCTTGAAGGGTCAAAACAATCCTCTAGGCCAGCAACCACGTCGAGGGCTATGGTGCCAGTGCCGCCACTGATGATATGGGCACGGATGGTGCAGTGAAGCTCACAGAGGATACGAACACCAACGCAGAAGAAAACATCACTGTGCTTATCCCTCTGCATATAATACCATCATCGTGCACCACACATACAATGACAGCCACCCGGCCCCAACCACCTCCGACATAGGAGTCCGTAAGGAAACAAAAGAGTCTCGACAAGCACCTCACCGGGAACAAATCCAACCCTAACATTATTCTTGAGAAGAACAGGAACTAAGGTACAGAACCAAGCATGTCGATGACACTGTCACCGGAACCATCGACATCCCCAATCCACCTTGGGAGGAGAAGATTCACACCACACACCATACCGAAGAACTTTTCCTCAACGAGGAAAAACCCACAACAGACATGGATCAAAAAGAAAACTAATATAGCTAAAAAAACAAGTACTAGAGCTAAGTATATACACCTATACTCAACTCTTCGTGTTCCCCACACCTCCAGAGCCAAGAAGGCCACCGGAGGCGCAGGGAACCGGCAAGGATGAGCCGGATCGAAGGAACTTCTTTTCGTCGCTACAGTAGCGAGCGAAGGAGGGAGAAGACTCTGGAGAGTGGCAGTCGACAGCTGTAGACAACACAAGAGTTATGCCTGCGATGAGGGTTGTTGGGCCGTTGGGGTTGGATCAGTTGCAACTTGGGGGATAGCCGCAAGCCCGGAAGGGACGACACAGGGACAGGGGTACGTTTGTCTTCTCCGCGTGGGCTCGCCGCGAGGCTGCTGCGCATGGAGCGAACGTGTCGTAATGCTCGTCGGTCCGGTTGTGGTTCGCTCTCTCGGTAAATTGGGCTGGACCGAAGGTCGGGCCATCAGTCTGCTATACTAGGAGCCAGCATGAGCCCAGTAATGAGAACTTTCTTTTCTTGTATATAATGCATGTATTGCTAAAAAAATTACTGCTGTGTCGCTCCAATGTCATCACTTAATAACAAATCATATTTGCTAAAAAAAATCAATCAACAAACCATATGACTGGCCAAAAATCCCTCAAAAAAAAATGACTGGCCAAAACAGAAACTAATAACACCACATAAAGCAACCTACTTTGATATCGATCAGAATGAGCTGTATACAAGGCATGAATACAGCACGCTCGCTGCCTGTTAACCACCAAGTCCAGTAATTCCACATTTCCATTCTGGAAAATCTTTACAGCCTTGACTGATCCTCCCAGTTTTCCACACATAACATACCCCAATGTGTATTATGGACAAAAAAAAAAGAAATTTGGAGTCGAGTTCCTATATATATACTCCAAATTTCTATTCCCTTACATTACAAAGGAATTTATTTTAATATACGCACGTACATGTACTCCCAGCATTCTAAATTACAAGTCATTCTAAGAATCCTAAAAAGTCAAAACATCTTAAATTTGATTAAAATTATAAAAAAAATTACAAGAATTTATAACATAAATAATTGCACACGCTTTACACGGCGAGAGGCACTCCCCCAGGTTACCTGTCGCCTTCTCTTCCCCTGCATTTCCGCGCATTTTTATACGGAGGCCTGCCTGGTGCCTGCCCCTTCTCCCCCTGTTCGGCTGTCCCCTCGATCCCGCATCAGTCACCGGGAAAATGGCGACGCTCAAGGTCCCAGCCACTGTCCCTCCCGTCGCCGATGACTGCGAGCAGCTCCGCAAGGCATTCCAAGGTCAGTGCCTCCGCTCTCCTATCCTTGTCTCGGCGTGATGCTGGCATTCTCTGTTTCTCTTGTCCGCTCGATCCCTGCGCGCGAGGCCGCGACGTACGTTCGCGGCGTGACGCGCAATCGTGCGATCTGACTGACGGTGCGTTCGTCTCCCCGCGGGCTTGCAGGGTGGGGCACGAACGAGGCGCTCATCATCTCCATCCTCGGCCACCGCGACGCCGCGCAGCGCCGCGCCATCCGCCGCGCCTACGCCGAGGCCCACGGCGAGGAGCTCCTCCGCTCCATCACGGACGAGATCTCCGGCGACTTCGAGGTAAAGCGAGAGATCCGCCACTGATCATTGCCACATGCGCGGGCATCTCCCTCCGCGCGGCCAACCGTCTCCATCCAGATCTCTCTCTCTCTCTCTCTCTCTCTGACCGGGCTGTGATGGGACCAGAGGGCCGTGATCCTGTGGACGCTGGACCCAGCGGAGCGCGACGCGGTGCTGGCCAACGAGGCGGCGCGGAAGTGGCAGCCCGCGAACCGCGTGCTCGTCGAGATCGCCTGCACACGCACCTCCGCGCAGGTCTTCGCGGCCAGGCAGGCGTATCACGAGCGGTTCAAGCGCTCGCTTGAGGAGGACATCGCTGCGCACGTCACTGGGGACTTCCGCAAGGTGATGCGTTCTCGCTCTCGCCTGTTTTCCTTGCCTGTAGAATCAGTCTCGATATCTCGATCTGATACGTCCGTGTGCGATCGGTTGGAATCGCTTACCTGCTTACCTTGGCCAAGGGTAACTGAATGTGGATCCAACCTTTATCCGTTGATCTTCATTTCGTGAATGTTGATCTCATGTAAGATATCGAGATGTGAATTTGTGATTTGCGGTTACGAAGTTGATAGATGAGTTCAGAATCATTAAATGCAATGCTTATGATGTTGTTAACTAGGTTGGTGCATCTAAAATATATTCATTATCAGATTGTTAGTTGTCGGATCCAGCTGTCTATCTGCGCTCAGAGTCATATAGATTGTTCTTTATGAAAAATACATTATATATATGTCTTTTGCCTTTGTTGCATGCTGATGATCTGTACAACTTAACACACTCCTTAAGGCAAAGCTCAAATGAAAATTCAGTCTTTCTTCTTCCAAAATCTGATGCCCCCCAACCCGCTATTTGTCTTTTTCTTGATTTTGTTTGTGTCAATCGCAAAATAAGGTTAATATGGATATATGCATGATTTATATTGCTAGGGTCTACTACTTTAGAAGATGGCACACTCATTTTCATATGAATATTTGGGAACCTTATTCTAGTTTTTGCAAGCTCCGTGACCTTTCAACAAAAGGAAAAAGATTGCGAGAGGAAAATTTGCCAAATTCTGTGACTTAACCTAACCTTTGTTTTGTTCTTCATTTCAGCTACTGGTGCCACTTGTAAGTACATACCGCTATGATGGACCAGAGGTCAACACAAGGTTGGCACACTCAGAAGCCAAACTACTTCATGAGAAGATCCATCACAAGGCTTACACTGATGATGAAATCATCAGAATCCTCACCACTAGGAGCAAACCTCAGCTGCTTGCTACATTCAATCATTACAATGATGCATTTGGCCACCGAATCAACAAGGTGCATACTTATGTCATAAACTTATCTTTTTCTTTGCTTTATAAAATCGTACAGGATGTGACCTTATTGTCATATTTGTTCTGCTTAGATGTGCTTCTGCATTGCATTACAGTTGAACCAGATTATTCATTTACCAAATTAGTAAGATGCATACTGCCATTGCATGCTGTCCCTTGTTTACATGTATGACAATCCACATCAATAAAAATCGGCCCTTCATATTCTGAAGGAAAGTAATAAACTTATATGCTCTTACTGATATGCTCTCTATTCTTACACTGTCTTATAATACACTGAATTCATTCGTCCAACTAGCAAGGAGCATGTGTAACATTGGGCAAGTTATTTACTCAATTTAGTTTTTGTTCCCATCAAGATCAACCTCATCCAATAGTTAGTGTTCACATCCAGTTTTGATAATTTCCCTGTTCCTTAAGTCTGGATCAGTTGGATTATGTTGTTTTGTCCATTAAGATCAATACATTTTGTTGGTCTATTTTCATCTGCAGCTTGTTCTGTTTGGTCTTTGGTACGGAAATTTCACAACGCTCTAGCAAAGCTATCCATGTTCAGAACTATATACAACTGCAGTCAAAATTCTTTTCTAGATCAATGAATGTGTTCATGTTTCCTCAGTCTTTTTAAGAGAATGAGTTTCATATTCATCTGTAGATATATGCATTACCATTTCGAGGATATATTGAGTGGCAGGGCTTCTTCATAATTTTTGCTAAAAAAATTTGTTAGCATGATCACTCAGGGCTTTTGCATAGTCCATAAAAACCTGGTGCTGGAATTTATGTCTGTCAAAATGGCATTTTTCTTACAAATAATATTGTTACTATCTACCACTGCAGAATTACCTTGCTACTTAGAAGTTAGAAGGAAGTATTACTCTTACCAATCAGATTTAATGATGTAGTAGGAGTGCTTTGTTAATTCAGAACATTTGGTGGATGTATTACTCTTACCAATCGACCAATCGAAAGTTTACTCAGCTCTCAAATGCCATTCAGAGCATTTGGTGGATGTAGTAGAAGTGTTTTGTTGTTGTTGTTGTAGTAGTAGTAGAAGTGTTTTGTTACAGTTCACTTTGCTGTTTTGCTGTTTTCAGAGTTCCATTTCTGCACAATAGTACTCATCATTCGCTTGACCTACCAATGTCCAATTTCGCAAGTCTCCTAGTATTATGAACAAAAATATTTGCATGACGCACCACCTCTTTTCTAGTAATTCCATGATAAGACACTTTCTCATATCCTCCGTGATTCACAGGATCTGAAGGCTGACCCCAAGGATGAGTACCTCAAAACGCTGCGGGCAATCATCCGGTGCTTCAGTTGCCCCGACAGGTACTTTGAGAAGGTCGCCAGGCAGGCCATAGCGGGGCTAGGCACCGACGAGAGCGCCCTGACCAGGGTCATCACCACCCGCGCAGAGGTGGATCTGAAGCTGATTAAGGAGGCGTACCAGAAGAGGAACAGCGTGCCCCTGGAGCGCGCGGTCGCCGGGGACACCTCCGGCGACTACGAGAGCATGCTCCTCGCGCTCCTGGGGCAGGAGTGATGAGGTGTGGTGCAGTACGTCTCTGACCGGCGCCGTGGTGTCGTTCATGATCGTAATAAGGGTGTGTTCTAAAATTTTTTTGCACAATTTCACATTGAATCACATCGAATAACGTAGAAAAAACTAATTGCACAGTTGGGTGAAATGTGAGACGAAACTTTCAAACCCAATTTTCATAATTAGACATTAATTGTCCCTTATAAGCAGTCAAAACCCATTGCAGTTTTTAAACCTGCTATGCCTAGCTGTACGTGAGGTTGTTTCTTCGGACTTTGGTCCTGGTACTGTCGCTACAGCTTGCATAGCAGTGGTGAACTGGTGATAAATAAGTTACTGTGTTTCCGACGAATGAACTCAGTTTTTTTAGCTATTTCGTGGGCGCGAAAAATTTTGGCTTGATTACTGTAGTATTTTCGTTTATATTTAATAATTAGTGTTTAATTATGGAGACGGTTAATTAACATATCATGTCAGAAGAAACAGCTGTCCAGGCAAGTCGAAAATTTTAGAAACAACATGGCCTAGGTCGTGGAACCTCTGCTGCGTATGTTTTCAGAGACGTTAATTAACATATCATGTCAGAAGAAACAGCTCGTCCAGGCAAGTCGAAATAATGTGGCCATGTGAGCATGTCAGTGTCGGCGGCTATGGCGGTATAGGCTGTGTTATCTGCTGCTCTATTTAAAAAATCAGCACCACCAAATTGGTTAGAAAATTTTTAAAAAAAATCAGCGATCGCCTTGAACTTAAACCAAAAGCACCAACCAATGAAGTCAACAATTCAATTGTCCACAGCTGCGTGCATCTGTTATCTGTTACCACATAAAAAATAAGATAACGCTTTCGTCCAACATAATCTTCGTACGCGCGCCCCCTCTCCGGTTCCCTTTTTTTTCCTCGCCGTTAATTTAGGATTTCCAAAAAAAAACAGTATGTCTGACCTTTAATTTAGGAAGACAAAAACGATCGCACCTCATGTCCACGTTTAGGAAGACAAAAACGATCAGGTCTCGTGATCGGCAACATATCGTATCGCCCCGCTCGTCTCCCCTCGTGACCCTTCGCCCGCGGCATGCCGGGCCGGCGACTCGTGCTCGAAGCCAAACGTGTGAGAGGGAGCCTAGCGGCCCCGCGTGGTAGTAGGCCGGGTGGAGGACATCGCGTCGACGGGCAGCCGCCCCAGCGGCGGCGGTGGTTTGCGTTGCGAGGAGCAGGCTCACGCGGGGCGGAGGCGGCCTGTGCTCGGTGCACGCTCATGCAGGGCGGCGGCGGCGGCTTGCGCGAGGCGACGGTAGCCACTAGCCACGCCGAGCGAACGCGTCAGGCACGAGTCGCATTGTCGGGCAGCGGCTTGGGGCGTGCGTGGCAGGCGGGCGGGCGTTTGTGGCAGTGCGGAACGAATCGGGCGTGGCGGAAGCTCTTGACTGGCGAAGAACATGCGATGCAGCCCAACGGCGAGTCGATCCTTGTGAGTTCACGGGAAACAAGATGCTCGATCGTGTCCATGGCATGTGGCGCAGCCCAACGTCGATCTAATCCTTGCGAGTTGACAGAAAAAAAGAAGCTCAATCGTGTCCACGACCGCTTTGCTAACAAGTTATGCAAGGTTCACTGGTTTTTTCTTCCTGTTTACTCTCGTTTAGTAGCCGCGCTCATGCTGTACATATTGTCCACATTGTTTTGATTCGTAGACTTACGTGAAATAAACTCATGTTTTTAAACGACAATCTTACATCAAAGTTTTGGTCCCTGCAGGAGGATGCTGGGCATGTTATGGTGCCATGGTTTCTATGCCGTGGTTGTCATATATGGTTCATCAATAAATTCAATTAAATATATGCAAGTTGGATGATAATTAAAATTATACTCCCGTTTGCACAACATAGATTTTTTAAAAAAATTGATCTAGCTACGAAATGTAATATTTTTCTCTCCCGTGGAACGCCCGGACAATTATCTAGTATATATACATACACTGCTGCACTCGTCCTGTTTACTGACATTGCGTTAGTGTTGCAACGTGACTCATTCCGTAGCCGAGCCACCTGGGGAAAAGAAGGGGCAAATCAGGAACGGTAATTATAGATGGCCAGGCAGATCGCGGCCCAAAGCACGGTATTTTAGCATGGCACGCCCGCTGACTAGCAGGCCTGGGCTGGCCCAACCCTGATGCATAGGGCCATGCCTGGGCCGCTCCTTAGGCACGGCGGGCGGCACGGCACGACCCGGTAAATACCCTCGGCCCGGTATTTGGCCCGGTAATAGACTAACATGCCAACAAATTATAAGGCCCAATTCTCAACCCTAACTGCTTCCACGGACTACTCGACCTTACATGAGTCGATTCCCATCACAGCATCGCTCCTTCTCTATTCCCACTCGCGCGAGACGCACACGCGCCGCCGCTGGCCCGCCGTCTCCCGCTAAACTTCCCTATCCGCATCGCCTTGGACACAGACGCTCATGGGCGACGAGCCGGATCCTCGCTGCCGCCTCCAGCCCAACTTCCGTCACCGACTTCGAGCGCGGCTGCCAGCCTCGAGCGGCTCCTACAGCTTCGAGCGAACGCGCCTCCTTCGGATCTGGTGTCAAGCTCCTCGGCGAGCACGCCGTCCTCCTCCACCCCTCCTCGAATCCGGCGTCAAGCTCCTTGGGGCCGAGCCGCGAGTGCGTCGACGACGGCCACCACTTCCCCTCCCGGCCTTCCCTTCTCTCTTCTACGTGCCTAGGGCTAGCCCGGTCCATTGGCTGCGGCGTGCTTTTTAGGCCAGCCTGACCTAAAAATCGGCCTGAAGGGCCGTGCCTAGGCCGACGGCTAGGCACGAAGCACGACATCGGCCCCGCCTGGTGGCCCGCCGTGCCCTCCCTGGCTCGGTCGGGCCGTGTCGTTCCGGGTCGGACAACCCGAATGGCCATCTATAATGGTAATGCGGCTTATAGGCCCTACGTCCGTTCGGACGGACCGTATAAGTCGCCCGTTCATTTTGCGCCTCACTCGCGCCGCCCCCCGCCCGCGTTGTCTGCTTGCTCAACGCGCTACGCGCCTCTGCTCCGGGACGTATCTCGCCCTCGGCCGTGGCGCCCCCGCTCGCGCAGCGCGGCCCCACCCGTGCCGCGTGCCCCCGCCTGGACTTACGCCTCCCATCGTGGCCACGCTCCATCTGTCTGCCCTTGCCCTTGCGAAAGCTCTAGTTTGGTTTTAATGAATTGATAAAACCCTTAGTGCTAACCTAGTTTATCAAAATGATTATGAGATAGGTAGCACTACTCCAAGTGATGAAGCAAACGAAGATCATGACATGATGATGATGATGGCATGGTGATGATCAAATGCTTGGATTTGGAAAAGAAGAAAGAAAAACAAAAAGCTCAAGACAAAGGTGAAATTGATAGGAGCTTTTTGATTTAGTGATCGAGACACTTAGAGAGTGTGATCACATTTAGGATTGATAGTCGTACTATTAAAAGGGGTAAAACTCGTATCGAAATGCGGTTATCAAAGTGCCACTAGATTCTCTAACTCATTCCATATGCATTTAGAATCTATTGGAGTGCTAACACTCTTAAAAATATTTGTGAAAATATGCTAACACACATGCACAAAGGTGATCAACATTGTGTTTAGCACTTAGGAGCAAAGGTAAGAAACTTCACCGGCGCCCTGTACAGAAAAGATAGGTTTTCACAGAGTGCACCGGACGCTGGCCTCAACTGGACCGGAGCGTCCGGTCAGTGGAAGTAGTGAAGACGCTGGCGTCGGTCTTCGACCGGACACTGACAGGGTGCATCTGGTCCTGCTGATGTGGCATCGCATAGAGAAGAGGGTGACTGACCGGATGCTGGGTGAGTCTGGTCCGGGGTAACCGGACGCGTCCGATCACGAAAAATTGTCTCTGGATGCTTACTAGAAGTGACCGGACGCTGGAGTCCTGCGTCCGGTCGTTATCAACCGGACGCGTCCGGTCATGAATGGAACCTTGCTGGAAACGACCAGACGCTGAGGTCCTACGTCCGGTCACTTAGAAGCAGCGCGTCCGGTCACAACTTAAATGTTTTTATGACCGTTGAGATCGGGCGATCAGCGTTTGAAGTAGGTGCCACATGGCATGCATCGCGTGACCAGACGCTAGGGTCCAGCGTCCGGTCGATCTGACCGGCGCGTCCGGTCGCCCCAATTTTCAGTAGACTGAGGATCCAACGGCTCTATTTCGTGGGGACTTCTATTTAAGCCCCATGGCCGGTTCAAGCTCATACTCTTGGCCATTTGCATTGACATGGCAACCTTATGAGCTTAGCCAAAGCCCTCCCATTCATCTCCATCATCGATTCATCATCTTTGTGAGATTGGGATAGAATCCAAGTGCATTGCTTGAGTGATTGCATCTAGAGGCACTTGGTGTTCGTGTTTCGCTGCGTGATTCGCTTGTTGCTCTTGGTGGTTGCCACCACCTAGACGGCTTAGAGCAGCGGAGGAGGATTGGCATGAGTTGGTGATTGTTCGTGGCCATCTCCGGTGATTGTGAGGGGACTTGTACCTTCCCCGGCGGAGCGTCAAAAGGTAACCCTAGTGGATTGCTCGTGTCATTGAGTTACCTCACTTGTGGGTAGATTTTTGCGGTATCCAATTGTGTGGACGAGGTTTGTCCAACACCTCTTAGCCGCCGAACCACCAAGTGTTGGTCGACACAACGGAGACGTAGCATGTTGGCAAGCACGTGAACCTCGGAAGAAAATTGGTTGTCTCTTACCCTTTAGTATTCCCCCGGTGATTGATTTAGTATTCATCTTGTGATTGGTTCACTCCTCTACACAACAGGATAATCACCCTACTCACTCATTTATATTTTTACAAACTAGTTGTAGCAAGCTCTTTAGTGTAGCTAGAATTGAGAGCTTGCTTTGTAGTTTAAGTTCATCTAGTGAAGCTCTTTAGTGTAGCAAGTGTGAGAGCTCTTAGTGAGTAGTGACATAGCAAATTGTGTGTCTAGTGATTATAGCAA